TTAAGCATCCGACTTCGGCTCAGGTCATGATCTTGTGGTTCACGAGTTTCAAGCCCTACGTCAGGCCCTGTGCTAACAGCTCAGAGCCTGGAGCCTGTTTTGGATTCTCTCTCTCTCTCTCTCTCTCTCTCTCTCTCTCTGCCCCTTCCCCTGCTCGTACTCTCTCTTCCTCTCCCTCTCAAAAATAAAACATTAAGAAAGTTAAAGAAACAAACAAACAAACAATTGTGGAGGTTAAAGGGACAAATAAAATTGAAATGGTTCTAGATTCTATGTGAAGAGGTAAAATATTAACTCAAAGTAGACTGAAATCTCTAGTGCAACCACTAAAAAGATTACCAAGATAGATATAAAACCAAAAATTAATTTTTAAAAGAATACTAAAGGAATTCAAATACAAGGAACACAGGAAAAGAGAAACAGATGGGAAAAATTATACTGGGACAAATAAATAATAAAATGCTAGGTGCAAATAAAGCCTTATCAGTAATTATGTTAAAAGTAAGTAGTCTAAACACAATGAGAAGACTTAGTTTCTCAGAATATATTTTCAAAACTAAAAAATTCAATTATACTGTGTGTTTTAGTAATAGTTTCCACAAAAGAAGAAGCAACAGAATGTGTATATAGAGAAAGACAAAAAGATTTAAGGAATTGGCTCTCACAATTCCGGAAGTTTGATAAATCCAAAATCTGCAGGGTAAACACATACTCTGCAGATTGAGAAAAAAGTTATAAAGTCCAAAGGCATACTGTTGGCAGAGTTCATTTTTATTGGGGGAGATGAGTCTTTGTTCTTATTAAGGCCTTCAACTGACCTGATGAGAAACCTACTTTTCTCAAAGTCCACCAATTTAAACATTGATCTTATCCCAAAAAATGCCTTCACAAAAATACCCACAATAACGTTTGACCAACTATCTAGGCACTGTGACTCAACCATGTCAACACAAAATTAGCCATCACAATGTGTCAATAAGAAATTCAACTGGGGGCGCCTGGGTGGCTCAGTCGGTTAAGCGGCCGACTTCAGCCAGGTCATGATCTCGCGGTCCGTGAGTTCCAGCCCCGCGTCGGGTTCTGTGCTGACAGCTCAGAGCCTGGAGCCTGTTTCAGATTCTGTGTCTCCCTCTCTCTGACCCTCCTCCATTCATGCTCTGTCTCTCTCTGTCTCAAAAATAAATAAACGTTAAAAAAATTTTTTTTAAAAATA